AAATAGCCATATTTCAAATATACTTGATTCAAATGGAGAAGCAGTTGCAGTGAGTCCTGCTCAGGTCTGAACTTTAAACCAATCTAAAGTGCTTTACTCTTGTTCACTTCAAAATGTCGTTGTATACTGTAGGTGTTGTCAAAACACTGTCTAGGTTCAGAAAGTGGTGGCAAAGCAACCTTTAGAGGCCTAACTGAAGCCTGACAGCTCAGCTCTTGTTAAGGTAATAAAAAAAACCCAGAAACTTTTAAAATGATCCATAATTACATAAATAATTGTTAAGCTTTCAAAGATAATCTGTCTTTTTCCATTGACTCTAGTGTGGATATTTCAGTTTTTCCTCAATACACCTTGCGGGTTCGCCCTGTGTCTCTTCATCAGTTTTAAGTGGTGTCACCGGCTCATTCAAACTTACTCCACAAGTCAGCCAAAGTGCATCCCTCCAGATATCCAGAACTTACTGTAGAAGCAACTTGTACCATATATCAATAAAGGACTACCATTTCCTAGACTGTTCTCCAAAAACACATAAATCTCTTCAGCCAAGAAAGACGAAGGTGGTCTGAGAAGAAGCATAAACTAATTATTTTTTCTTAGTCTTTGTATTTGTTCTTCTTTGCTTGATTAATCATTTATACACTTTATCACATAAATTATTTAGTATTGGATTTAATTCCTAATGATTATCTGTTATATATAAATTCTGAATAAAAGGTAATATACTGTACGAGACTGATCCCAAATAAGCAGAATAATGAGAAACATATCTTGACTTAATTGCACAAATACAGGATCATTTTTTAACATTATAGTTAACATTAATTGATCATTATCACTTACCTTTCTTTACATATAACAAATAACAAAAGTTGAGCTTAACTTATAGATGACAAAAGAAAAATGAGCAAATTTCTTTTAGATTGAGGCAGGTATTCAGTTTTCTATAGACTGTCGGCCGAGAGATGCACAAACAATCCTAGTTGAATGGAGGACAAAGCTTTTCACAAGAACATCCCTCCCACACACATAGAGACACAACTAAACACACACACGGACTGAGCTTGCAATGTGATTGCACTATCTTCAATCAGCACCATTGTGTTGCAAAAATACAGGTATGTGCACTGAACACAAAGGTCTGAATTGCAATATACTGTCATTGCTTTCGCTTGTCAAAAATAAGAGCTTCTCAGCAAGACTGAGCTCTGGTTTTAATCATTGTCTCAGATTGATTATGCCTGCCCAAAAGTGCACAGTTTGCACTGAAAACATCAATGTGAATATTTGACAAATGACTCTTCTCTCTACATATATTACCTAGTGTTGAAGACGATACTGTGTGGGCCTACAACAAGTATCAACTGGTAAGGTAATACTTAAGGAAGAACATTTGTCTGTAGGTGCAGGTGCCCATTCTCAGAGATGGTAAATTTTAATAGGGTGCAGTGATTAAGCAACAACCCTAAGGATTTTTAAAAAAAATGCTCAGGGTTGTTCTGGTTAAACGCTTAACTAAATAAAAAAATTGTATCTACCATGTAGGATCAATAAAAAAACAAACAAACAACAAAGTTGGAAATTTATCTAATAGCGGTGGCTTAACAAATCCTACAAGACCACTTTTTGTAGTCACCAATAAACTGGCATTATTCTGGCTGCATATTTTTCTGGTCTTTGTAGCAAAGTTCTTAGTTTATTGATTTCAGTATCTTAAGTTCAGTCTTTATATTTCAAACTAATTTATGCTACGGAATGTTACAGAAATCTTATCTTAATCTGCTTTATCAATTTATATACCTAGTTTGGTGTATGTTTGAGGTCATTCTTTCACGGTTAAACTTTTGATTAACTGTGTTTAGAATTTTGTCCAAATTTTGAAATTAGTTCTCCTCTTTCCTCTCATACACTATGCAACGCACCTATACCTATGATAGCAAAGCTGTCAGGGGCAGTTCTGATTAGATAAATGTCACTTGTATTACCTTTTCTTTTCACTTCCTGTTTTATTTTTTGTATTCGTTTCCTCTCTCGTTTTAGGCAGCTTCACTTCCTGAGTTCCTTCCTGTAATCAGGATCTGCCACAGCCTAATGCCATTCACCCGGTGTATGTGCTCCTCTTTTATTTGTTAGACTATTTAGTTCCCACTCTTGCAGCTTCCCTTTGCCAGTTCGTCTTGGTTCTTAGTGCTTATCGTTCCAGCCTTTTTGCCTGTTAGACTTTAGCTTTCTAGTGTTTTGACCCCAGCTCTCATTTGGACCTATCTTTGCCTCCGTTTTTGATACCTCTGTTTCTGCTGGATTTTTTGGTGTTCAACCTGGGACTGTATTAAAGGAACTTTGAGTTTGAATCCACTGTGTCAGGTCTTGCATTTGAGTCCTTTGTTCCTGAGCTGTACAACAAAAGCAGCCTCACAACATAAGGCTACCCCTATCATTGTTGATAGCCCTACACATCAATACCCTCTCATTTCTTGTCAATGTGGCCAATAGCTCAATCTTTATTTCATCTCACCATAAAATCTTTTTCTAATCGACATTTATAGTGGCTTGAAAGTTAGGGGAGCTGAAAATATCAGTGTTTGTGTCCACTTTGGAGCAAAGATGTATTTATTTGTCCTTGGCAATATAAAACTCAATTCTGGTCAGTGAAATAAATCTATCAAATTCCAAGTTCCATTTTTATATTTTTTTCTGGAACTTCCTAACAAACCTTGTTTCTTCTAATGGTGACAGTTTGGGGAAGGTAGTAGGACTGAGGTGTTGGCTGTTTTTTAATTTTTTTATGTTTTTTTCTTCTGGATGATAATTCAGAAAAGCTCTACATAATTTCGGATTAGACTTCTGAAATAGGCTGTCCTGAAATCCTTAATCTTAAAACAATGTAGTATCTGTGGACAAGTTGGTCAATATTTGTTGTTTTTCTTATTCTCATCAGTATCTGGCCAATTGCTTTCTTCATCTGTTGATTTTTGGTGACCCCTCTTTGGTGGATAATCCAGGTCTAGTTAAAATACCCTTCTAGTTTTCTTACATCCTGATTAACTAACCAGAAGATGAGCCTACAGTCTGCGTTGGGGAGCAGGAAATGGATTGGAACCAAACTCTTTCATTTTACTTTCTGGATCTTAACCACCTCTGGCCCGCAGTTACAGGATGTATTTGGATCTGCTTCTGCTGACAGGCAATGTTGTCAACACAGGCTTAACAATCGAGTGAAAGGCAGGGTTTACCTAGACATCACTGGGGGTATGTATGTATGTATGTATGTATGTATGTATCTATCCTGCCTATATGTGCCGTTTTGAAGCAGCATAGAACAGAGAAAAAATACACCAAATTCAAATCTGTCCATCCAGTTCTCATTAAAAGAACAAAATTAACCACAAACATGCTCACAATGACTTCAAGACCACATTGGGTTTGTTTCTTCTTCCTCCAAGTTCTGATTCGGGTGGGAATTGTGCGTGGGAAGACCCAACAAAATACTGACAAGAGAACAAAATATTTTTCCCATAAAAAAGCAAAGCTTTTGTAGAATCTGTATTACTATAAAGACTTAAAAGAGCATTTAAAACAAATCTCTGTACTGGTGACGGCTGTGTCTCTGAGATGAGGGGCTTTAAAGTTACCAAAGACTTTGCAGAAGAAACTAAATACTGCTGAGATGACAAAGAATGATAGTGGAGCACAACAAAGACTAACATACTGTATAATTTATTTAGGCTTGTGCTTCTGGTGAGTGAAGAATCTTGAAATTCTTTCTAAAAGAAAATGAAACACTGCTGAATAAGCAAATCTCATGCAGCATGTAGGTGTTTCAAAGTCCTTTGCAGTGTATGTGCATAGGGGTTGTTTGCTATGGAAAATAAAACCAACTTCATGTAGCCAATATGCAAGTGCCTAAGAGCACAATACCAAAATACTACAGGGAAATGAATGCCTTATCTATAAAATTAGTAATTGATATTCTTTGCTCTGCTACTGGTACAGTAACAAAAAATCTCAGCATTCACAAACAACAAAAAAATGCTAATCTTTTCTCACTTTCTCTTACTCTCCAGAGGAATAACTTTGGGTTTCCAGTAAATAGGCACTCTTTCCTAAGGCCATGATGTAGATTTAGCTTTGCATACACACACTCACACTCCTTTTCTTGTCTATACTTAGCAAGGACCATGTGTTTACTTCCATTAACTTGCATTGATTTTTCAGTCATTTTAAACCTTTTCTATAGCCTACACAAAACCGCTAGTCCTAACCATTACCTGGGAATGCTGAGCATAAATCTAAACTTTACTTTACTCAATTCACACCTCCTTTGCCCTAACATGCTAGTCAAAAAAGGAAGTGAGGACCAGCTAAATATGCTCACTTTGCTACAAATGGTCCCAAATTTGAAGATGAAATTGGAAAAATGGTCCTTAGTTTGAAGCAGTAACTGGGACACACTCTCAGACATACACAGCAACAAGCAATAGAACAATAGTGTTAGAGTCAAGACCACACTGACCATTACCAGAGAGTACCGAGACTGAGACAAGGCCAAGACCTTTACAGGCCGAGACCTTCAGACAAGGCCAAGACCTTCAGAGGCTAAGACCAAGACAAGGCCAAGACTTTTAGAGACAGGGGTGGGCAATCTCAGTTTTGGAGGCCTAGTATCCTGTAACTTTTAGATCCATCCTTAGTCCAACACACCTTAATCAAGTGGCTGAGTTTTCTCCTCAGTATGCAGGCAGTCCCTGCAGAGTCCTCTCAATCATCTAATTACTGAATTCAGGTGTGTTGAACCAAAGGCACCTTTTAAAGTTACAAAACACCGGCCCTCAAGAACTGCAATTGCCCACCCCTGTTCTATTTTCTTGGTCTCGGTTGTTGTTGTCTTGACTACAACACTACTGAACAACATATAAACACACATTATTTAAACAGGCTTTAGCTTGCCACCACAATACAAAAACACAACTACAAAAGGAAAGGGAATGAAACTGAGTGCTCACCAAGGGTTTGATGAAACTCACCCGACACCGGGGTCATGGGAGTTGGTGGGAGGCTGTTGATGTTGAGCGCCCCCATCTGGTGGATCTGTGTGGCAGGGAAGGCCACGCTAGGCGTAAGATAACCGCCGTGGGTTGCTGCCATGATGGCTGCCTGCTGCTGCATGAGCTAAAGAAGATGGACATGGAGAGATGGGTGGAGGACAGGATGGAGAGAAGAAGGTGATGGGAAGAAAGATGGCGATGGAAAATAGCAAATGGCCAACGAGTCAGGAGGACATGTAAGAAGAGATAGAAGAGTGAAATATATCAAGGGTAGACAAGAGGGAGGGATGTATGGTGATGTTGATGGATGGATAGTGCATGGAAGTGCAAAGAAAGTAGAGCGGAATAAAAGAAAGAGAAGAAAAAGAAGCCTGTCAACCTATGTTTAGTGAATCTGCCCGTCCTCGCAGCAGGAAGCCTGTCACCAGCTGCAGAAACAATTTAATAGCTGTCTGTTGGGCTCATACAAATCAAGGCATTGACATGTGCACATTATCTCTGTGCTCAAGGGACAGGCAAAGTTTGCAGAGTTACAATGCCTTTTTTCCTAATAATTGTCAAACTTCACAATACTTTGCTCGGCTGCATAGAAATGCCAGAGTTGCCTCCTACTCTCATCTGCTATTTCATGGGCTCATGTTGAATTTTTCTAAAGAGTTTGTGATGATTACAACTCAAAGCTTGACTTTCAGTCATATCTTAACTTTTCCCCAATTTTGTAAATTATTTACCACATAGCTGTAAAAAGAGTTTTTTTCTCTGAAAACACATTCTGTATGCAGAATATAATTTTTGTATCCAATATCCAATTTAGCAATTTCACTTTTCCTAAAATAGTCCATTTGTAAAGCATTGTAAAGTCCTGCTACACAATGAATTGTCAAGTACTGAATTCAAAATCAGTACTTTCCCTAACAGTTTAAGTCACTTCCATCAATAGTATCTCAAAAATTAAACTGACACTGCCTCAAAAACATATTCATAATCTGAAATGTTATCACCTTTTATACATAACTGTGAATGTCAGTTATTTTCTGGAACTTTAGAAAAGGAGAAAAACAGAAAATAACACAAAAAAAGCAAGTAGAAAAACATATGTATCATCCAAAACCTTTAACAAATAAGTACCAGAACAATAAATTGTAAGTAACTCCTAAACCATTTGGTTGGATAGGGAATGCTGTCCACACAAAGCAACAGTGAAATCAATAATATTTAAAACCTGCTCCAAGACTTGCAAAGTTTAAAGCCATCTTCTGTAGCAGCTTTGTTTGTGAAACTCTAACTGCTTAAAAAGCTACAAATTGATGGGTTTGAATAATTACACTTAATACTCATGTGCCAATCTATGTCTGCTGCCTATTCTTACTGTTGTGTTCGCTGTTACAATACCATTTACCAAGATGGTTATAGTCAGCCTTCTATAACTTGGAGAACATTTACATGATTAAGGGACAAAGATTTCAGCAGGACCTTGGGAAAAACAAACAAATTACTCTAACAGTGTCTTTTAATTTCTGTTTAAGAAAAAAACAGAAAGTAGCAGTTGATCTAGAAAGCTGCTGCCTGCATCCTCACTGAAACTAAAAAAGTAAAGCACAAAACAAGTTCTAAAGTCCTTACTTCAGCTCCCATATTCCAAAGAATATACTTTAATACTTCTTTTTATATTTCTTTTTAAGTATAAATCATTAGGTGGCTTACCACCACATTACAGATTTGTTTTCATTGTATCAACTCCCATAAAGATACCCTATTAGGTCCATTCTATTCCATGAACCAGAACCAAAAATGGAGAAGCAGCATTTCGTACTCATGCTTCACCTGTCTCAAACAAAACTTCCAGAAGTCTGTAAAAATGCAGAAACTCTACGTTGCTTTAAATTTAGCTTATAAACCTAATTGTTTAGAGTTGCCTTTCAGCACTTTATTTAAAACAGTTACTGAAACATGATCAGTTTAAAGTCCATATTTTTTCTTTACCTGCCTTTGTCATGTCACTACAATGTACTTTCTTTTTTCTTTTAACGTGCCATTCCTGTACGGCACTATATGAGGTATTATTACTAAAATATATAATACAAATAAACTTGTCTTGCTATGTTTTTGCCATGTTATTCTTCCTGCAACACTTTCACACATAAACACAACCTGAAATTATTTAATTTGTGCTGCAGAGTTACTGTGTTACTCACAGGTGTGAGATAATTATTACAACGCCTGTTATAGCTCACCTGGGTGTGATCGGAATTTTAAGTGTAAGAACTTTTTGAGTACATACCTAGAAAACAACAGCACAATTAGTTGTACAAACAAATAAATGGAAACCATGCATCATTTTCCTATTATGCCAAAATTGTGCACAAAGTTCCCGTAAGATGTTTGGAAGTTTGGGTTTGTAACATGACAAAATGCAAAAAAAAAAAAAAAAAAAATCTTGGGGTTTGAATACATTTGCAAGGCTATGTACCTGTATAAAAGGAAATTAAATAAAGCATATTATTTAGGCAACATACTATTATAACAAAAAAAATACAATTTTTACGTATTATACTTTAATTTCCCTCTAACATTCCATTATAAGTATTTACTGTATTTTGCTAAGTAATCAGGTTAGAAAAATTGAGTTTCAAACTCAATTCAGGCCATGTTAGTAGTACCACGGTCTTACTGTGTTAATGTCTATTTGCTCTTGCTGGACAATCCAACAAAGTGATACAATCAATAGTCTTTCATCCCCTTTGCATTTCTGCTTAGCATGAACTGAGAAGTGAGAACTGAAGCCATTTCCCATCAAATGCAGCCCAAGGAGTGTTTATTCATATGCATAGGACATGCTCACATGCACCGCTGCTTTAAACCTCACTCGCTAACAAAGACAACCCCCCAACACACACACATACACACACACCACATGCATGAATAGTAATCTAGACTATTTTTGTGTGTCCTTTCTGCTTAAAATTTTTCTGGTGCAAAAAACAAAACAACAAACATAAAAAAACAACAACAATAAAAAAAAACACATTGACTGCCTAATTCAGAATAAAATCCATCATTATACTATGGGCTTTGCAGCTCGTAAAACAGTGGCTTTATCTGGGGAATCAATAATCTTTTGCAAGCTGTATAGCTGCCCATCAGGCAAGCAGACTTGTGTGGTATAGGAATAGAAACACAGCGGGCCGAACATCTTGCCCCCTTCTCTGCATCTGTTTAATACTGCATGGCTTGTGTGTGTCAGGGGAGCCGCTCATGGCTGCGGCCTGAGATCGCCTCATATGGCCAGAAATCAAATCTTACTGATGCTAATGATGCCAGTAGAGGTACAGACAGTTGCAGTTTTGTTTGTTGACATGGTGACAGAAAAGGCAGTTATTATATCTCCCTGAGTTCCTCTGTCAGGTAATTTTAAAGTGGCTGTCCTGTTGGAGAATGTCTCTTGCTGGAGTCCGTCTTAAGCTATATAAATTTAAACTGTTACTTTATTGTGGCTGTAGTTCTTTCTACAATGTCATCAATATCACAAATCCAGATCATTCCTTTCTAAAAAAATATGATTTAATCCTTTTAGAGACTAAAACAAAGAACATGCATGGGAAAATCACAAAACAACGCATTGTCATTGAAGTATACATACAGCCTGATCTTTAAAGATTCCAAATAAGGAGAGCTTAATTGCATATGTTAAAAAAAGTGTATAAAAATAATTAAAGTATATCATAAATGTGCATATAGGTGATCTACATAGATTACATGCAAGAGGGGTAAAGCTTGCATAAAGACACGATCTGACCCATTAAATTTGAATGAATGAATAAAATGAGCTGTAAAGGAGAAGTGAAGTTCTAAGCTATGAAGATGATGGTAATAATGAGTTATGTTGACCAGTGTTACAATGGTGGAAGTAGGTGGAGCCAGAGCTCGAACCATGATCTTTTACTGCTTACTCTGGTTGGTTGAGTTTGACTATGACTTTTAAATATTAGGATAAAAGTGGATGCAAAAGCTGCAGCTGCAAAACCTTTCTGATTGGATACATAGCTTTGTGGGTGGTAAGTACTTTATTTGGTTATCTTTCACCCAGAATGTTGTGGGTTTAGTCAGTGGAATATCATCTAAATATTCATTGAGGGACGCACAGAAAAAGTTTGACTCCACTACACACTGATTTTGCACACACTAATTCCTTTGCAACTTGTATAAAGACCAGCAAACAAGTTTGCATGTGTTTTAACATGCACACCTTTTAAAGATCAGGTACCAAAATGTAGCAAAGGGACTAGGTAGGGATGAGCTATAGTTAAGTGTTTTTCTGTATATATATTTTGGATGTGGTTGGCGCTTATGTAAACAACCAACAGAATTTAGACTTGAGGGGACCTTTTGTTATTCTTTTTTTCTTCAAACTTAAACCCCTGAATCTGTGGATCAAAAAGTTTAAACCTAAATAGACAATACCCTTATTGTTTGAACGAGGGGTCAACAAAGGTGTTTTATTCATTTGTATCTGAAACAGAAAGGATTTTGCAACCCTATGTGTCTTTTGCCATTCAGTTATTATTACTGTGGACAAATCAAAACTCTTTGGCTTTTTAGTGTTTGCCATTGAATGTGGGCTCTTTGATCATCTTTAGATAATTCAAAAAAATACCTCAACATTTTAATCTTCAATGAATAATTCTACAGATTAAGAATATTATATAAATACATTTTTTGTGATATATGTATCTTATTTGAGATAATAAAAAGTAAAAATGTATTTTTTGTTGGAATCAGGACAGTATTTAGGATAAGTCTTAAAATTGCATTTTCAAGGTAAACCTTGAACAAACCAATTTGAATTTAGTAATTGTAAATTTGTGAAATTTGGCTTTTAAATCCAAAAAAGTGTCAAACTAAAAGGGAATTAATTGTTTATGAATTAATTATATTAAAATCACTTGTCTTATGTTTTTAGAATAAATGTGTGCAGACACACCTATAGCTTGGTGCTTACACAAAAACTACCACTGTTTTGTTAACTTCTCCAAACTGTGAAAGTGAATGGAGTAAAAATCGAAGTGGGAGTAAATACTAGCGTGACCAGAATACCATCCTCTCTCCTAGCTCCAATTGTCTTAG